CCCCCCCCCCCGCCCCGCCCCAGCCCTGCAGTGGTAAGCTCCTAAATGTTTAATCACCAGCCTTCAAGATAAAAAAAACAAAACCCGATTTATAGGTTTTGCCCATTCCCATGGTGTAAATACTCCCATCATGGCTGATTTCAAGCTACCAATGATGAAACACCAGTGGGGAAGAAATGTGCCCAATTGGCCCAACTGAGCTGGTGTGAGCTAGCTCTAGCACACCACTAAAATTATTCCCCCCACACAAAAGCGATTTCAGTAAAATAGTAAAATTCGGCACAGGGTGTTATTTGATTGCTTCTTCTGGAGAGAAAAGGAATAAACATTTGCAAAGTTACAGACCAAGAGAATATAGTGATGGATTCAGGGAAACAGATTCCAGTCAAACCTGTGAAAGAGAATTTCATGAAATGTTATTGCAGGAACGAATTCTAATGAGGTTGGATGGATGCTCCAATAGATAGAAGAAAATGTTGGGGCAGAAGCTACACGCAATGGTGAAAGATTTTAATGCATGTTGTAGATCCATCATTCTCTGCAGCCTGAGCTGAGAATCGACGCTTTTAAATGGCGTGAAGACTTGGCGAGTCCTAAGTGGCAGATGTGATTCCACCGTGTTTGCCAGGCTCATTGAGAAGAGGGGAGGGTGTCTGGGACAGAAGGCTAAATACAGAAATTCGGATCATTCTCCCAGTTAACCAGCCTTTCCTTTTGGGCGGTTTTAGTTAATTTTTAAAACCACAAACTACTGCAACCCATCAGAGAAGTACAGAAACTACTATAATAAACACCCACGACCACAGTTTAATGAATGCTAATATATCGCCACATTGGTTGTTAATAATAAAGCATTACAGACAGAACAAGAGCTCCTCCATCTCCTTCGAGCATTCCCTCCCCCCAGGGTAACCAGCATCATGAGAGGGCCGGGTTTCACTGCCAAGCATGTTTTTATATTTTATCCCCTATGCATATATTAATTAACACCATATGGTGTTTTTAGAGTGTTTAAGATTTAACCACATTAAGAGTTCAAATACGTAGTTTATACATCGTAGTCACTTTATTTACTGTATAAATATACCAAATGTATCTATGCATTCCCCTACCGAAGGGCATTTGGCCATTTCCTATGTTTCTGCTGTTACACACAATGTTGCAATAAACATTCTAATCCCAATGCACTGCACACGTGTTTTGCTGGGAACACGTCTGAGAGCTTAGCTGGGGGACCGCCTCGAAAGCCGTGTGAGGATTGCTGTGCTGACGGTGCTACTTGTCTTCAAACATCTGGAATGACTCCATCGCCCCTCTCCCCTGCTTTCCAGACATCCCCGCGTCACAGAGATTCTACCTTTAAAGAGGCTTTCTCATCTCCCCTTTTACTCGTTCATCCAACAGTGATTTACTGAGCACCTACTGTGTGCACACTCATGGAAATCGACTGGTACTTGGGTTTCTTCCATACTTTTCCCTAATCTCATGGGTTTCACACAAAATTGTTCATTTAGCACACATTTCCTGGGTGTGTACCATTCAGTCTTTGCCGGGCCCTTTTGTGGAAGACACACAAACCACTCTGATTCCATACGGCGACTGTGAACAACGAGAATGTGCAGCGCTTATGAAGGAAACACGGGGGCGGGGGGGAGGGGGGGTGCCAAGGCCAAGCTGGGCTGGCGTTTAGTCAGGCAGACAAGGTGGGGATATGGGAAACATGGACACAGGCAGCCTGGCGAGACTGGGCTATCCCAGACCTACAGTGTGTGGCGGCTGCACCGTTTAAATAGAGTGCTTTAGGGCCAATGCCATGGTGTGAGACTGAGCAAGCAGCAGGGAGTTAATGGGCAAGGTCCTTATATCTATGCCAAAGAGGTGTTTTCCAACCATTTGCTTATCATTTCCTAAACAGAAAATGATATTCTTATAACTGGCTGGGGGAGATGGAGGAAGCTGCTGGTGACTGAAAGGGCTGATCCGGCTGCCTTTAGTCCCATCCAGGTGCCCCCGGGCTGAGGGGATCACTCCTTTGGCACATCTGTCACCCACGTGTGCCACACAAGCTGGAAAATCCTACCAAGGATAACTAGGACCCAGTGAAGGATTGTAAGGGGTGACCATGGCTGAATTTGTTCTAGAAAAGCCAACTTAAATGCTGCTGTATCGGGTCCCTTCACAGGCTAAGGCTTCCAGCAGCTCAGGTGTTCTGAAGAACAAGCCACAGATCTTGGACTGCTTGCCAGGCCCATGGGAGTCTTGCCACCATTTAACAACCCCCCCACCCCGGCCCCCGCCTTTCATCAGACCATTCCTCCCAGCAGAACTGGCACCATGGCATGCTGCCACTCAGCCACCTCTCTGCACATCTGACAAGCTAACACTCAGCTTGGTTCCCGCTTTAGCATCCCAGGATATTTAGTAAATGG